CATTTCTTAGGTGTCTGTTTTAGCCCATACAGTGATTTAATTAACTTGTAAACTTTTGCCTCTTGGCCTTTCACAACAAACCCATCCGATTGTCACATATAAACCTCCTCTTCCAAATCTCCATTCAAGAATGTTGTCTTGACATCCATTTGATGGATCACTAATTCTTAATTGCCGCAAGTGCAATCAACAATCTAATAGTTGAGATTCTAGCTACCGGTGCATATGTATCAAAATAATCAATGCCGGGTTTTTGTGTTAAACCTTGTGCCACTAACCGGGCTTTGAACTTTTCAACAGTTCCATTAATGCTCAATTTCTTTTTGAAGATCCACTTGCACCCAATTAGTTTAAAATTAGGCGGTAAATTAGCTAACACCCAAGTGTTGTTTCCATGATGGATTCCATCTCATCATCAATTGCTTCCTTCCAAAATGGAGCATCCCGAGACTTCATAGTCTCTTCATATGTTAAAGGATCATCTTCCACATTAAAAATGTATGGATGTTGTGTTGAAACTTCATCCCTTGATCCTTCAACCAAGTACACATGAAAATCCGGGCCAAAAGATTTTTCTTTCCTTGGCCTCTTACTTCTCCTAGGTTGTAATGATGATGTAGATGCCTCCTCTAAATGAGCTTGGTCATTTACCTCTTGATCAATTAAAACTTGATCAAAACTTTGAGCATTGGAATTTGGAGTTATATCCTTTGGTCTAGGAATTGAAGAAAATCGATTTTCATAAAACAATGCATCCTTGACTCAATGGTGGTGTGAACCGACCAAAAGTCATTTTGCTCTATTACATAGAACCTATAGGTTTTGCTATGTTCCGCATATCTTATAAAAATGCATGCATTCAACTCCTCTTTCACCTAACTTTTTACGTTTAGGTTCTGGCACTTTTACAATTGCCCTAAAACCCCAAACTTTAAGATGACTCAAGTTTGGTTTCCTTTTATACCATATCTCATATGGGGTAACATCCTTCCCTTTCATGGGAACACGATTTAACACGTAACAAGCCGTTAAAACGGCTTCACCCCAAAATCCATCACTTAAACCTGAATATGACAACATAGAATTAACCATTTCTTCATTCTAGTGTCCTATTCTTCCTTTCCGCTACACCATTTTGTTGTGGTGTATTTGCCGCGGTAGTTTCATGTACTAAACCTAAAGATTGGAAATAACTTGGGTCATAGTATTCACCTTCTTTATCGATTATTAATCTTTTTATCTTTCCATTAGTTTGCAATTCTACTTCACTTTTGTAGATTTTAAATTTGTCTAAGGCTTCATCTTTAGAGAATAACAAATAGACATAACAAAACCTTGGAAAAAATCAATAAATGTTACCAAATATTTCTTATTCCCTAAAGAAGGTGTGTTGTGAAAATCACACAAGTCACTATGCACTAAATCAAGCAATGTAGTATTTTTCTCAACAACATTAGGAAATGGTTTCCTTGTGATTTTTGTTAACATGCATGTCTTGCACTTTTCTATTCTTGGATCAAACATGGGTATCAAATCATGATTAGACATAAAATATACATTTTTATAATTAACATGACTAAGTCGCAAATGCCATAGAGAAAAATTGTCATTAACAACATACACAATATCATTCAAAGTATTACAAATACTTAACTTAAACATATTATCACACGAGTAACCAAGTCCTACAAATTGACCACCTTTAGACAAAATAAACTTATCCGACTCAGACACCATTTTAAAACCTAATCGATTCAAGATCGCACCGGATACAAGGTTTCTCCTAAGTTCGGGAGCAAACAACACATCTCTTAAAATAAGAGATTTGCCCGAACTAAAGACTAGCTCCACTTGTCCCTTGTTAACCACCTTAGCGGTAGAGTCATTGACCACATAGAGAATTTCTACATCATCGACCTCCATGAAGGTCTTGAACAATGTTCTATCTTTGCACACATGCCTCGATGCGCCCGAATTGATATACCACGAACAATTAGCCTGTACACAATTGATTTCAGAAATCATACACACATAATCAATTAATGAATTAAATGAAATTTGTGCACAAGAGTTACCTTGTTTGTCTTGGGATTGGCTAGCATTTCCATTCCCACCTTGAAACTTTTTCTTGCTCAATTTCTTCTTCCAGATTGTACAATCCTTCTTAAAATGACCGGATTTTCCACAAACCCAACAAGCACGTGATTTTGTACCATTACCACTTACTTTAGGTTTCTTGCCCTTTTGTTTGTTTGAGTCATATCCCCTCTTCCTCTCATTGGACTTTCCATCCTCCATCGTGTTAACGGTGGTAGAACTAGGATTTACCTCCTTTTGTCCTTCTTGCACACGGATTTCTTCCTCAATTCGAATATGGGAACTTAATCCCTCAAGATTAATATCTTCTTTTCTATGCTTTAAACCATTCTTAAAGTCTTTCCAAGAGGAAGACAATTTGTCTATTATAGATGATACTATACAGGTCTCATCAAGATTAATTTCATGTTGCCTAAGACTCCCAAAAATCCTTTGAACCTCATGATATTATTCCACGACCGCCCTACTATCAACAAACTTATAATTGTTAAATTTACTAACAAGGAATTTTTTTGCTAAAAGCATCCTAGCTCGGCCATATACTTTGACTCTAAGTCTTCCCAAAGCATTTTAGCGGAATCACGAAACAAATAAATATCAAACAACTCATTTGACATACCGTTCAAGATGTGCCCACGACAAATGTAATTGTCATTCTCCCATTTGTTGCGTTTCCTAGTGACCTCCAATGCCTCGTTTTCCTCCTCCGTTGGCTTTGAGGAAATGAGATCATACGCCACTCCAAGTGAGGTCAACAGAAAATACATCTTTTTCTGCCATCTTCGAAAATCAACTCCTTCAAACTTGTCCAACTTTTGAAAGTTTAATGTCAATTCTTTCATCGTTGTCATCTTTGTAGGAAATATTACTTTGGATTGTTGGGGAAATTGATTACCAAGTCACAAAAATTGCAACGAACTTGGACAAATTAACACTTCGAGGCGTGAAAAAAATCACTTTCCCAAAGTAATATTTCGACCCTGATTTTACACACCGGGTATCATGAAATTACTAGGAGATACAACGAAAACAATCACAACAGTGTGTAGTATGTTTGTGATCTAATGTAAGCAAAATCTGGGTAATTATGACGATGATAAATAAGCCTTGCAAAAGTTTTCAAGAGAAAGCAATAAACTGATTTTCTTGAATCTATCTTTTATCATATGAAAAGTAATGCATATGAAGCCAAACAAAACCAACTCCACGAAGAAGAAAACCGTCACTTTTCATCCCAAACCAACCCGCGCCCAACTGGGCCGACGATTGTTCGGCTGGGCCGATCTAAGCGTCAAATCCAATACCCTCTCACACCTGGCCGGGTGGCGGTGGCCCTTCCGGGCGGTAAGGCCCCAAATTCTAGAAACTACTCTCGTGCCCGGTAGGGCGAAGATACCTAGATCCGGGCAGCAACTTCACAATTTTCTTCTCCGTTCTCACGCCCGGTAGGCTGGCGGCTACCCTGTCGGGCGGCGGAGCAAGTTCCTAGACCCACCTTCGCACCCGGTCGGGCGAGCAAACCCAGACCGGGCGGCAGACCAGATGGTGGTAAGATGTCTCTTAACCCAAATTTTCCTTCTCTAAACCAAGAATATTAGCTTCAAATCTCTTGCCTAATTAATTCACAGCACCTTAACCTAAGTAAATTAATTTAAACAACACAAATAATGTCTACCATTCTCTAAATTATTTAACACTATGTTGGATTATCATTGGAATAAAACATAGTAACTTTTGTTCACCTACTTACCTCCATCATCTCTCTCAAAACTTTAAAGTATCTAACGTGTTCTCATTTTCTCATGAAGCAATTATTTTGAAATGTTATTGAAAATAAGGTTAACATAACTTGTACTATAATCCTTTCAAGGGATTACTAAGTATTTGAAATTTTGATACACAAATATACATTGTCAATACTCTTAACATATTCCTTGATCATTTTACATCCTCCCTCTCCCCAATGTCCAACTTTGAATTGTCAATACAACTATAATCCTCTCGTGCAAAGATGACATTATTCTACAACCCTATTAGTTGCTTGCATGAACACCCATTTTGGCCTTGCACATGTCTTAAATCATCAACTATACTTCTAGGAATGCAAATTTCTCTTTAACGCACATAAATGTCAACCTATAGGAGAACATAAAATCCAATATCATGTTCACCCTAAGTCATTCTACATACTTAAAGCATATTTGAAATATGCTGTTCTATACTATAATTTTTTTATGCATGTTCTAAACCTATATTCTAATGTTATGAAAACAAAGGAATGATTTATATTTTTTGTCACCAATAACAAACAAATTAATCATGTTTGATTCTTAGTTCATACTTTGATCCCTCCACTAAAGGTCTTAAGTTCATTTTAATTCGATAAATACTATGTCTCTCCTCAATTTACGATTTCATTTCATTTTCTATTCTTCATTGGCTTATGATTTAAGCTTTCGCTATCCACTATTAAAGCTTTCATTCTATTTTGGTTTCACCCTTAAAATCAATGCTTTCACTCTCTTCCACTAATCAATACTCCGTATTTCATTAAATGAAGCTTAAATTTGTGCTCACTTTGTGTGTTCGATCATTTAACTCAATTTCTATATTATAATCAAGTTTAATTTGAGACATTGCAGGTAGATGTTGAATCGGTTGTCAATTAATATCAGATCAGTTCAAGTTGAGTCATAGGTCACTATTTTCGTCAAATTCCATGTTGAGTTTAGATGTTATTGATGTAGATCAATTTCTTAATTAGGTTGGGTCAATTCTCGACAGCTTTACCATCATACTCCGTAATTCATAACAACATGTACTTGTATATGTTTCTATTGATTATTAAAGATATTATCGGTAAAAGTTTATCTACTCAAATTATACATACTTTTTATATACGTGTCATTAATCTTCCTCCTATGTATTCATTTTTTCCTTTGGATTTTTTCACTTTTTCCGCGCACTTCTCCCTCTTTTCTTCATTGAAGCGTACTCTGCGTTCTCCATTGAATCTGCGTCTGAGCTTTCTCTTCTCCATCGAAGCAGTTTCTGAGGTAAGATGTTTGTTCTGCCTTTTTCTGTTTTATCATGGAATATCAATTTCACAATCTAGGGTTTAATTTCGCAGTATTGTTAATTTAATTGTCAGTATAGTCTAACTAGGGTTCTTGTAAGGTAAATGATTGAATTATTGGTTGTAATTACTGAAATTTTGAATCTTTTTATTTGCAATTAACAATTTACGATAAGATACTCAAAGGAGAGGAATTTTACGTGATTACAAGTGCCTAATTTGATGATTCAGTCATATAAAATTGCTAATGTGTTGCAGATTTTGTTTATAACCCTTCAATGTTAGGATGGAACTGTGAAAATTGACATTATGCCCTCACTGCCCTTCTCAGCGGCGGCCTATTTGAGTGATTTAGTTAATTTTCTATGTTAATAAGTAATTAAGTACTAGTGGTAGACTATATTGACTAAATGTACGGCTTAATTAGTATCAGGTGCACTGAATTATATTGAAGAGGGTAGATGATTGTATTGGGACTAATTGGCTCAGAGTCAGGCCTGTTTGAGAGAATGTAGTTGATTATGATGCTATTTCCATTGGTTACCAATAGAAGTAATAGTTGTGGACTATGTCGGCTAATTGTATTTAGTATCAGGTGCGCAGAATTGTGAGGAAGACGGTAGATGACCATATCAGGATAAGTTGGCTCAGGAACAGGCCTGAACTTCTCTAATTCTCGCCTTTTATATTCAGCAGGATGGTAACTGGGAATTCTCAGGAAGACCGAGAGAAGAACCCTAAAGGAGCTACCAGGTCGTGGGGGCCTGCTGTCTCAGGACAGTCAGTATCAACTAGTGGCAGTGTGGGCTCACCATCGAGCCGGAGCGAAGCTGGAATGGCAACACCAGCTCGTGACAGTACTGTTCTTAGACTAAGTCACCTTGAGATTCATGGTGATGATTCTGCCTCTCAGGGTGCTGTTGTGTAAGTCTTGTATCTTCCATTTTAAGTTGCTTTATGGCTTTTGTGATGCTTAGATGGTTCCGTTTTATTTGTTGGTTCATTGTGTGTATCCTTTCTAGTCTTTTGGGTCATGAAGGGGTATTATTGCCAATTTTTCATATCTTGGTGAAGTTTCTGCATTTCTGCTGCTTTTGTTTCTGTATTTCTGCTGCTACTATGCCTTGTTTCATTCACCGGAATCTTTTTCCTTCTCTAAATATTACATTCTATTAACCTCTAATTAGGAGTAAGAAGAAAAAAAGAGGTCAACGTGCAACTGGAACTGACAAAAGTGGTCGTGGACTTCGACAATTCAGTATGAAGGGTAAACAGCATATCTCTATTGATGAAAGTTGCCTAGAAAATCATATTCTACTCCCCTGTGTATTTCGCAAAATTCCTGACTTGGGATGTTCCTATTGTCTGTGTACATGACTATATTATCTATCAAAATTACTAGTTTGCGAGAAAGTAGAGAGCAAAGGAAGGACAACATACAATGAGGTTAGCTGCTTGCCACTCATCTTTTGCAATTTCCTATTGCTTTGGACGTCTTTATTTCTATTCTGGATTATTTCTGATGGTTTCCTATTTATAACTTAGTACTGGGGCGCCTTTTATATCTATCTTTCCATTAACCTAAATTATGTTCAACAACAAAGTACCTTTCTTAGGCATTACATTACCATAATTTTACTACATGCGTACACTAGTGAATATGTGTTAGCACTGTAGCAGATGGTGGCTCGGTTTAGATTATCTTGTTTATAAAATGGCTTAGCTTTTCTGCAAACAACTTTAGAACTTTAGTTTATTTGTGTTTCGAATATGCTACTAGGAAAGAGGACATCATGGCACTAAGTCTATGTCTTTGCATACTAGATGAGGGCTTAAAGCCCCTGTTAACATACTGATAGATGTAGGATTTAACAGAAAATTTAGTGACTTAGTGAGTGATCCTGTTAAATTCTAGAGATCCTGACGGTAGTTACGGTAGCCTGAACAGGTTGAGCTAGAAATGGAAAGAATAGATGGAGAAGGAAGGATTCATGTTTAATACAAAGATTATTGTAATTTTTTTTTCAATGGAAAAGGATCTATGAGACAATGTAGCCCTTTATGCAGAGCTGAAAGTGGGAATATTGAGCATGAACCCAACATCAATAACATCGACACTGGATTTTGTTGTGCATTTCTAAACTTATTCCATTTGAAAAATTTATGCATGTATTATAATCAGTTTTGATTGGTATTGCAAGCGTTTGACACTGTGAAACCTACAAAATGCTTTTTATACTATCCCTTGCCCTTGAGAACAGTTGGTTTTTTGATTTTATATTACCGTTCCCATATTGTCTGTTGTATCTTATATGTTTTTGTATAGATACAAGTTGTTACTAAGCACCTCCTGAGATAGTGCATTCTTTGTGCCGTGTTGTTTTGTTGCTCTTTTGTCACGTGCTCGTGCTTGACATCTGATGATTGGAATAACCTCCAGGTAGCAGATGAACTAGTTGCTGAATATGCAGATGCAAGTAATGCTCTTGGGTCAAATGAAAATGTATGCATTTTTCCTTAAATCAGATTCGATAATTGTTTCTCTTGTATGCTTGAAAGTTCAGGAGAAAATAAAATGGAACTGCCTCTTTGTTTCAGCAAGGATATGATGAGAAAAACATTCGCCGACGAGTGTATGATGCGTTAAATGTTCTAATGGCAATGGATATAATTTCCAAGGATAAGAAGGAAATACAATGGAGAGGTCTGCCTCGAACAAGCTTGAATGATATTGAAGAGTTGAAGGTGTGAAAGTTACGTGCTTTTAGTCGGTCTTTCTTTTGGAACATTTTGTGTGTAAGCTTCTCAAGCTGATTCATTTTATAACTTGCAGACAGAGCGGGTAGGACTGAGAAATAGGATAGAAAAGAAAGCTGCATACTTGCGGGAACTGGAAGAACAAGTAATGATTTCCTTATATAAATCCTAATTGATTAGCTTCTTAGCTATATGTGTTTTTAAAATGCCAGAGTTTGTAATTTATATCGTCTCTTCCTGTTTTCTGTGATTATTTTGCTAATTCTTTTGCTGCCTTGAAGTTCGTAGGATATCAGAACCTCATACAGCGTAATCAACAGCTGTATGGAGATGGGAATGCTCCTACTGGTGGTGTAGCTTTACCTTTTATTCTGGTTCAGGTAATATAAAGTGCTGAATGACACCTCTTGCCTAATTCAATTCAAATCATTTTTTTATACAATTGTAACTTGTATATTCATTATAGGCTGGATTACTAGTCTAAGTGGTGAAATACTTAAGAAAACAATGGATTTTGATAAAAGATTAATTATGTACTTTGTTGCATGATTAATGGTATTTGGGATACACAATATCTCAAAAAAAAAAAAAAAAAAGAAAAAAAAAGAAAAAGAAAACCGAAGTTTGGGCCCTAAATTACGCTTCCATGTATCAAAGATTAACCACATAAAGCTTTTATGGGTATATGGTGTTCCATTGTCAGCCACTTGAAAATTATCAGATGGAAGTGGCTATTGTATGCTGAATTGGAAGCTCATGATAACTTTTTAAGGGTTCCTGCAATTTGATTGAGTATGAGCTCTGCTTGAATAGTGCGCCAAAGGGAGGGGGGGGGGAGTGTTGGAGGTGATGAGGAAAAGGTGGGTTCTTGATTCAAGCGGAGTTGAGTAGCTCATACAGTGTTGGATCCAGATAACAATTTACTGGTGGGGAAAAATATGAGTGATGATTTTTTTAATTGAGAATAAATGGAAAGTTTAAATATTTACAAGGAAAAGATAAAACACTGAAATTTTATTGGGTGGGTTGCCAAGAAGTAGATCTGTAATTGATTTAAAAAATTGGCTTGGTTCAGCTCACTGGAAGCATATGCTGCTGCCAGTGCCTCTTGGTATATTAGGAACCAGTGAACATCTGCCTAGGTGCTGTAATGTACTCGGTTGTAGGGGTATAGAACTATGATAGGTGATTAATTATTAGCTCATCAAAAATTGTACAAACAATAGCTTATTCGTGAGTAAATGGTGTTTTTTGATGTTTCCTTATAATGATCATTTCAATTAATCTTGCATGGTTTGTAATTTTGTATTACAGACTAGACCAAATGCTACCGTTGAAGTCGAAATTTCAGAAGATATGCAGCTTGTGCATTTTGATTTCAATAGGTAAGTAAAGGCATTACTGTATATGTCATGCTCTATGGTCTTTTTCAAAGAAGTTAAATTATTGGCAATTTTGCACTAAATTTATAAAGGATGTTCTGGCCCAAAAAAAAAAAAAAAAAAAAGAAAAAAAGAAAAAGCCAAAAAACTACTGACAGCCTTAACTGTATGATTTTGTGACTGCACAATATTTCTTGCCGTTGGCAAATTTTTGACAATTGTTTCTTTCCATGGCCAATTTAATGCAGTACCCCTTTTGAACTCCATGACGACAACTACGTCTTAAAGCAAATGAATGTTTCCAACAAATCTCTATTTGATGCTGAGGCTTGCGATATTCCAGCTAATGCAGGTGAAGGTCCAAGTGTGCCTGCCACTACTTATCATCCTCAAATCTCTCAGCCTCCTTCACCTAAAACTTATCACAATGAAAGCTCTCAGCTACCATCACCGCCGAAGCCATACCAACCTCAAACTTGTACATCGCCATCATCATCGACACAGCAAGCTCAAATGACATTGCCCTCTTCACGCCCGAATACAGCAATGAAGAGCCCCACATCTCCACCTCTTCCTGGTATACTTAAGGCTCGTGTGCAGCATGACAGATAGACAAGAGATGTTGAACTTTTTCCATATCATCTCCTTTCGTCTGTGTATAAGTTCCTACTAAACCTGGCAGCATGCACTCTCTCAGTATAGCTTTTTCAGCTGGAGGGTGAGGTACTATATAGGAGTGACACAAAACTTAGTCTTCCTCTTTACTGCAGATTTGTAGTTCGCTGTATCACCATTTTATTCTATGAAAAATTATTCTTGAGCAATATCTCGTCTTTCCTTTTCTTATGTAGTTAACAGTTAACTATGTTGTGTCAAAAAGATAAATTTAGAAAGATTGCTCTCGAATTAATACTGAAGATAATTCTTTTGGATGATTTCTTAAATCTATATAATTTATGTTGATTGATTGTTTTCGTACAAAGTTAACCAATAAATTGTTAACCATTCTGTCTAGAAATTCCATAAGGGTTTTGGATGCAGGATTTTCAAGCTTTAAAGGCTTGAACTAATACAGTAGAAATCATCTATAAAATCAGATACTACCTGTCCATAGTTAAAGTCACATATTCTACTTTAGGTTAATTAGTCACGTATTTTACTTTAGGCTTGGAAAATATTGTTTAGATTAGTGACAAAGTATCCTACCTAGTAAAACAAAATATATCTACTCCCATGGCAAGCGGATTTGATTTTCTCAAAGCCTCAAACTTAGGCCAAGTTGTATTCACCTTACTTTAAAGTTAACATTGAAACAATCATTTTAAAATAGAGGGAGTACTACGTGAAACTCTACTCCGAACTTAGGCCAAGTTGTATTCACCTTATTCAACACTGTAATTGGTTTGTCTTTAGTATGGCGTGCCTTGCGCCTAACTTAGCAATAGCAAAGCAGCAAATTTTTTTTTTTTTTGGGTACACCCAATGCGCTCAGACAGTAAATAAGGCTGCAAACAATCCGGGCCGAGTCGAGTTCTAGTCTGTTCGAGCTAAGCTTGATAAGAATTATTCGTGTTCGAACTATCCCGAGCTTGAACGAGCTTTAAAAATCTTGTTCAAACTGGGCTCATTAAGAATTTGGCTTGTTCAAGCTTTGTTCAAAAACGTATTCATTTACATTTCGAGTTTAAGTTCAAGTTTGAACGGGTTTAAATCGGGCTTGATTGAATAAACGCCCTAATTTATCATTAAAAAAAATAAAATGGTTTCTTACAAATTTTAACACATTTATTTAATTTTATATAAGATGTTTATATTCTTTCTGTTAAAAAAGGTAATGACAGAGTTTTTCATGCCTTTACATGATGAAATAATTAGTACCTTTTACAAATATGTATGAATAAAAGATATATAAATTGTCCTAGTTTTAAATGGGCGTGAAAAACTTATAAATGGATTTAAATGAGTTGTTCATGAACATAACCGAGTCGAACATGATGTTGTTCGAGCTTTGTTCATCTATTTGACGAGCTTAAGATTTATGTTCAAGCTTGTTTGTTAGCTTAACAAACGAGTTTTGACCAACCTTGTTCACGAATCGTTCACGAACGTATCAACTCATTTACACCCCTAACACTAAAAGAGAACATACCTCAAAGATTTAACCCAAGAAAAAAAAAAAAATCAAAAAAAAACCCTCAAAGCTAGAAACATGTAGGTTCAATGGCATTTTTTACAATTATTATTTAACTAGTATAGATCCCGTGCATGCACGGATAATAGTAAGATTTTTATTTAACTTATTAATTCAAAGATTATTATAATTAAACTTTAATACATTAAATTAAATTAATTGACACATAAGTATGTCTCACAATTTTAATATATAGTACTAACATTAATTTTATAAGAAAAAGTTATTATGTATAATGTTTATTTTTTTAAAAAATTATTATTAGTTGATACATTTTCTTTATTCGTTGATTCGAAATTTTATAAATTATTGATTTATTGAATAAATTTTTTTAAACTGTAGATTTGTTGTAATTTAAAAAGAAAAATTTGTTGGTATTAATAGTTAATGAAATATCGTGTACTTATCCTTGAAAATGATAATTTAAGTTATGGTAAGATTTAGAAACAGTTATAATAAAAAGTAAATTTTGGAAAGAAAAATTCAGCGGGGAATTTTTTTTACCCACTAAATGACAACATGGTGAGTAAAAAGGGCGTTCAAACAGAAGCATCATTTATAATATTTATCATATATATACTGCCATATCACAGCAAGCGTTCCAAACATAAAGATCCCAAATCAACACAGCACGGTATCGGCAAAGTCATAAAAATTTAAACATTAAAGAAGTTCACAAACAAAGCCATTATTAATAACAATTGGCCCAAAAGATAGATAGGTATGTTAATATACTACTGTTCCTCCCCAGCTATCAGGTCCATGACCACGCGCGTAATACTTCCATTGTTCTTAGCCAGTAGCTTCCTGTTAGTATCTTTATCTTCAAAACCCTGCAGCAAAAAGTGCAGAAAAAAAAAAATACAATTAACTTTGACGGAAGCCCCAAACCAGCTCAACCTAATCAAATGTCTCCCGGACTTACCATCTCTTTCAACTCCTCGAGCATAGGATCCCATTCAGAAACACCGCAGAGATCATCCACAGACCGCTCCAGGTCATACTCATTTACACGAAGAACCTCTTTATTCGAGTCAATTTGCTTAAATCCCATCTTCTCCAATTCCTTCAGCAGGGTCTCTTCAACACCTTCTTTCTCCCAATCTTGCTCAAGGTTGCTCTTGTCATTCTGGGCAGAAGAAGACCCCTCAGACATATCAATGATAGGGTATAAAGTTGCTGAAGGAGCAGACGGTGATTCATGGTTGTCAGTGGCTGCGGTATCAGAATTTGGAACAGGTAATGCCTCACGAAACACACTATCAGCAGTTTCAATAGAAGGCCATTCTGATGATGAAGCTGCAGTAGCAGTAGGGCACAGCACATCACTAGCAACCAGTAAATCATTATTGATTGGAAAATTCAAGTCTTCAATTTCAATATTACGTCTCTGCTCAACCATTGATGGAGACTTATCTTCAAAGTTCACAGCAGGTTCATTGTTTACATCTAGAGCCTGTGGGCCCAACGCTCCAGTAGTCTGAGGAGGGAGGTTCAAGTTCAAATCAGGGCCAGGGGATCCTTCACTGGTCAAGTCCGCAGAAGCATCAACCTGATGAAGAACAGGGCTAATTAGTTAAGAAAACAACTAAAACCCCTATTAATACAAATGTATTGTAGAAAAGCAGAATGGAAACCAGATTCTCAAGAACAGACCTGTATTTCAACCCACACACGTTGTCCAAACTTTTGCCCAGACAGCTCTGCCATTCTCCAATAGGAAACATATCGACCAGGCAATTCCGGCGCAACGAAATCAACTGCTATGTTGATTTCATTGCCAACATCCACACCATTGATAGGTAGCTGTCAAAATAAAACAAAAACAATGACTAAAAAGTCCACAACAAGCATAAGACCTTTTATAGAACAAGACTGGGAGATGAAATACCTCAATCTTTACTGAATCAGAGGCACTAAACCGATCTCCCCCGATCCAGAGAAGTTGTAGTCCATTATGCCATGGAAGTGCGCCATCGTTACGCATCAGCCATATCTTGGTAAAAGGCGTCGACGGGGCCATCGTTGTCCCATCCATAATATTGACATCCATAATGAAGCGACTGTCAAGTCTAGAGCGAGAATGCTTTCCTATCGATTTCCTAATTGCCCAAGGGGGATGCACTAGAGGGACCAGTGGTAATTTACGTTTAGGATCATAATAATTCTTTAAGGCCGATGGATGCTTGTAAGGCAAAGGGAAATCAAGTCTACAGTAATCTAGATCATTCCCCATTCGTCCAAAGCAGATGCTGCATAAATCATAATCATATTTTCTGCAGAAAGAAAGTAAGACAATTACTTCAATAGAACAATGAAAATAATCCACATTAAACCACAAGATCATTCTTACACTTTAGACTTGAACCTTGGTCCAGTGATCGGAAGAATCCCACAGCCATCACAGCGGACTCCTTTGTGAAAAATGGAGCCCATAGCATCAATTTTATTAAAATTATCGTGAACCGAAGGAGGACTAAAATTCCCTGGCTCACCCCAGAGCGAATTTCCAAATGCGCTTGAGTGAAAATTGGACCTGAAAGGGGGGCTATGCCAAATATTTAAGCCCTCATAAGATTCGTATCTACTTGTTTCCTTATCAGAGGAAACACGCTTTTTCATGCTACCTTTGGAACAGTTGATCTTGTGCACATTCATAACAGACTTCGCAGCAGAGTTTTCTGCAACTTCCTTGTTCTTTTTACCTTCACTAGTCGACAATCTGAGAGATGAAGGTTGAGAGATTGCATTCTTGCCTTTGTGGGAAAATGGTGAAGGTAGGAAAGGTCTAGGGGGTTCTGCTTCTCCCGTAGCTTCAGTGGTGCTTCTAAGAGTCGGCTGCACAGAACTAGGTGTTTGAGAATCATTAAGTTTTACCCTTTCACCAATAGATGCATCATCCTTTCTACTTAGACCGTTTCGATTGGGGTCGTAACAGTTTTTTGCATGACTGCTGACATTAGTAATACCACAATCAGGAGGAGATACGTTCAGGTATTGCTGCCCCATTTTCGAAAAACCATCCAAGAGATCAGCAAGTATAGGAGAAGTAGCTTTTGATGACAATTCAGTAGATATCTTTGTAAAAGCATCACGCAGAGGCTCCGGAACAGATTTCAAGACTTCAGCGACATTTTGATTGCCATTGTGTTGTGTAGAAGACGAAGAAGATCCTCTAGGCATTGAGCTTTCATTTTTTGTAGCACAAGGTTGAACAGTCTTGTCTGTTTTCAGGTTAACAGTGATCCTAACTGGATCCAGATCCTGCCTCACAACATCATGCAGATCTTCATCATCAACAAGGGTGACCAAGTCATCGTCTTCATCTAGATATGTCAAGGTAAAATTTGCATCCGATGGCAAGTTGAAGAGAGAGCAAATCTTCAGCCTCAGACCTTCCATGTTTAGATCTAAGCGCTGACCATTAACTGGAACATTGAAACGCCTGAGTGTATCCTCATATTTCACCTAAAAAGGAATACGTAAGAAGAATATTAAGAGATAATGACATGACAAGCTCAAGTCCAAGCTTTAAAAGACCCATTGCAACCCAATAGCCCCAACTATCGGTAATCACTGATGTCCAAAATCTCAAATCATGAAGATGGAAGTCAACATTATATATAACTTAGCTAACTTGATTATAATACAGAGATTAAACGAAGAGAGCAAAATGTAATACTTGCACCATCAGGTAATACAGTAATACAAAAGAAAAATGAAGATACAGAATCTTTCACACCATCAAAGATTACTAGCAGAAATTCTCTTATAAATCTTTTCTTTTCTCCTTGTATAATGTTAAAAACCTTTCACTCCTACTATTACTCATAAATGTCTTGTTTTGTCTGTTAAGAGGATTTCTGTACACTCTTTGTCATCAACAATAATCAAAGTCAATATTACGCCATGATACAAGAGCCTATATATATAACATCTGTTATTGATCACGACTACTGAGTAATTTCTATTGTAAATGTTGATCAGGCATTTAATCAATTAAAACAGCAGCAAGTAGCTAGCAAAACACATCACCAACACTCTCGTCATCCCTATTTACCAGAAGTTCAATTCATATGACATGCAAAAACAAGTTCACTTCAATTCATAGAATAATTAATAATATATGGTGACAAATAATTACAATAACAAAATCCGAAAAAAAGTCAATTTACAAGACCTCAATTACAATAGAATAACACACCATCATCAAATCACATGGAGATCAACAACTAATCAATATTCGATCTATCAAATCGAAGACCCAATCAAAATTAGGACAAACAATTACGAAAATTAAAATAAAAAAAAAAAACAAAAAAAAAGTAATCAAATAAATTAGACATGCAATTTCAGATTTCACACCACAAAACCTAATTCGTACGAACAATTACCAAAAATCAAACAATGTGATCAGATAATTTGACAAGCGATTTCACTTTCACACACAATTATACACAAATTAAACCAAAATTAACAAGCAGCAAGTAATATCAAAAGAAAAACAACAAAAATTGAAATTGAAATACTTAAAAAATTAATAAAATCGATACGAATCCAAACCTTAATTACAACGGAAGAAGCCATGATCTCTTCTGCGATCTTCTTAGGTAGCGGCATTGGAGAAGAAGCAGTCGACAAAAATCAAAAGAAAGCGTACCAGTAAGCCGCTGAAATTCTAGCTAAACCTAATTTCAAGAATTTAAAGGGTTTTTGAATAATTTTTTTTTGGAAGAGAGATTTTCGGAAAGAAAAAACAAAGTAATTGATAAAAAATATTTATGAAAATCGGAAACCGAAAGATTTATTTATGAAAATTGGAAATCTAATTACGAGTATTTATTATTGAGATTATATATTAACACGCGTACCCGTTAGCCGCGATTTTTTTCTCTATCGTAAAACTCTTGAGATTCCAGAGCTGTGTTTATGTTTATCCGATTTTATAGCTAAGTGGTTAGATACATGGTATTTGTGTTTGAGTGTTTCTTCTCCTAAAAGAAAGAGTACTAGGCTAAGGAAAGATTTTGAGAGGGGTATATTGGTCATTTTATTTGTGTGGAATTTATTTGTGTTTGTGGATTGTTCATTTTTATTGACTAGATTATCGTTACTTTGAAATTGAATAATTGACATGAAACTTGACTTATAATTGAGTATTTCGAAGTGAAGTTGAAATTAAATTTGAATTGAACCAGCTTGGATCAACTACTCCGTATATTTTACGAGCACTAACTTTAACCCATTTTATCCGATTCAATACAGTCCAAATGGTCCAGTTTTATTCCAAAGTTTGAAAGTCAAAAATCCAAATGATATTACAAACAACTAGCTAGAGTAAAGTTGTCACGATGCACCAATTCTAAATTATTTAGTTTATTCTTAAATAAAATTTAAGTTGCAACATTGAAAATACTATGTTTTAATCATTGTAAGAAGTAATCCAAAAATTTGCATGACCCTTAATAGTATTTAAGTAAGTTTTAAAAGTAGCTTCTCAAGATCAAAATTAAAAATTAGGTCACACATGATTTTTGCCTCTTTGGATAAAATAAATTTTGGCTTCATAGAAGCTCACATCTATTTCTAGTCGCCTTACTAGTTTGTGATGGAAATAGTTGAACAAAAAGATGGATTAATTTTTTTTAATTATATATATATATATATATATATATATATATATATATATATATATATATATATATATATATATATATATATATATATATATATATATATATATATATTTAAGAAACCAACCCTTTGAGAGTACTTTTCTTTGCAATAATGGCATGACGACCTTCCTCTTGTGGAATTTAGCTAGTAGTTGGGCATTAATTGAAGCTATGTTAGTGTTTCTTCTTCAAAAAGATACACTACTAAGCTAAGGAATGAAACTTGAGGGGCAAATTGGTCAATTACTTGTGTGTCCAATTCATCAACAAAAAATATGCATAAATTAATAAATACCTATCAAAAGATGGTTCGCGAAACTTTACTGGCTTTACGATAAAATACAAATATATTACTCGTAAAAAAAATAAAAAATAATATATATTAGTCTAATAAACTTGTGAAAGATATTGAGTTAACCATTATCTTTATATCAGTATTTTTTCTTAGGATTTTATTTGAATTCAACGGTAAAGTTGTCGGAGTGTTTATGTACAAACATAAGTCGACGGAGCAGTGGAGTGAGAGGGTGTAGAACACAATCACCATAGGAGAGAGCAAGTGGTACAATTGATGGGTTTCACACTTTCGAGTTACCTCCTTGTTTGGTTTAGGATGGGAATAACTGTATTTCTTTCTTTATGTTATTGATAGATGTTGATATTACCGTAATATTTCACTTACTCTATAAGTCTATAGGTTATATTCGCAACAATTTTCAGTGTATACAAACATAACTTGAGTCTAAATAAAGCGCCATTAAAAATCGTCCAAGTTTATACGTTACAAGAGCACACATAATAATCTAAATCCATTGTCCTTTTTATTAGGTCACATAAATCATTAATACTCGTGTTGTTTAATGGTAGATTTTTCTAGCTCAACGAATGCCTATTACTCTAGAAAGTAAAAGCTACATGATACAAGAGTACAGTGTAACCCTTAAAGTTACATATATGAATAAACAAAAAAATTAAAAAAAAAACATTAATTACACAAAAGAGTGCATGTTTGTATCATAAATTTTCAAACTTTTTAGAGCTGCATATATCATTACCCCTAACATGAAGGACTGTTAATACACCGCATTATTCAATGAACATACTCCAATTCTCAAAAGTATCAAAACTATGCTTTTAAAACTGCAATGTGGATACTACAATCACTATTTTTTGACAACATGTACCCACATTATAAGCCAAGAAATGCTAGCTGCATATAACACAACAGCCCAAAATAGCACAATGCAATTTTCATACTTATTACACAGACAAAACTGTTATCCTAAACTAATCTGCAAAACTTAGTGAATAAGTCAAAAGTGTTCAATACAAAGCAAACAGCAACTTTATCAAGACTTTTCTGCCCGTACCAAGCTGTAAGTCTGTAACCAACAAAAAAATGGGGAGAGGGCCATCGGCGTTGTTGCAGAAATGAGCAAAATTCTCAAAGCTCACAAAAACGATCAGGAAAATGAAAGAGCAAGTCAGTTTGCATACTGATCATAGAGGTTGGTCAAGGTAAGGGTCTTGGGGACTTCGAGGAGATCCAAGATATTCAGAGGCTTTAGAAACGACTTCATTAATCTTAGAAACACTTCGTTTCAACCATCCAGTCTCCTGTCCTTCCTGCGTCACTTGCCTGCTCCTTTCTTCTTCCTCCAATAGGAGATCAGCCCATCTCTTAGCCATGAAAAGCTTCACAGCCTCGACCCCTTCTTTCACAACCTCAACAGGAGGAATGACAATAGGGTTCTGTTCCAAATTAAGCTTCGCCAGCTTCTCCAGCCTACCAAATGAATTTGGCAGTGAATGAATCTGGTTGTTGCTCAGGTCTAGTTCTTCAAGATTAATTAGTTCGCCAAATGTCTCAGGTAACTCCTTCATATCACTGAAATTGCCACTAAGGTTTACAGTTAAAAGATTTTTCAGTTTGCCAATTGTGAGAGGAAGGCCATGAAGCTCGTTGAAGTGCACGTCAAGGTGTTGAAGAGATTTCATCTCTCCAACAGATGTTGGAAGAGAACGGATCTTATTGTATTGAACTGCAAGTTTTTTCAAGTTCACCAACTCATAACCTATGTTAGTTGGCAAGTATGCTAGGTTATTGAAACTAGCATCCAACTCCACCAGCGACCTGAAAAGACCAAAAATCAAGACTTCCCCATATTGGCCTTTTGAAGTATTTGGAAAAGAATCAAGCATTACCTGCAGTGGCTGATGCTGTCAGGAAGGGTAGTTAGCTTGTTGCCAGACACATTGAGGATCTTCAATTTAAGAAGCAGACCAATAGAGTCTGGCAGTGATTGCAGAGAGTTGGAGGACAGATTAAACTCTTCAAGATTTTCCAGCCCGGCTACAGAGTCAGGAATAGACTACAAACCAAAAGCACTGAGCATTAGGAGGATTAAATTGAATAACATATACCAGTTTATAGATAACGCAATAGCAACATAGCTAGGCCATAAAATATGCAATATAAAAACATCAAGGCATATTTACACAAAAAAAAAAAAAAAATACACCAGGTCCCACATACCTGCTCCCAAACAAAGGGATACATTTCCAATTTCATACAAACAAGGAAAATTATTTACCATAGGAACAAATTTAGGACTGCAGCCCCAAGAAAAAGGTTGGTTGCATAGGAAAGAACAACGGAATTAGCCCGGAGATTTAAACTGCTGCAGAATATGAGCTGGAACTGAACTCTACTAAAGATTTCCAATTGAGCTTTAACTTGCATGAAGAGGCAATTCCTAGACTTGTTCAGTGAGATTTTTAATAAGCAGTCCCATGAAATACAGATGTAATTAACAGGTATGGCAATTTGAAAATTACTTGTATTTCTTTATATAGCCCTTTTTATAATCTTTTACACATAGATAATAATCAATAAATATTTAAACACAAATTTAACTTAAAACAGTGTGATTGCACAAAATTAGCTGCAAGCTGATACCAACTCACACTGACATAATGACATTGTAATCAGTATCATATGTTTAGAGTGAATTTGACCCAAGAGATACCACTAGACACCTTCAGACTTCAGCAGGGTGAGAACCAATATTTTACCACAGATGAACAAAACTCTAATCACCAAATTGTAGACACCCCACTCAGATTGACAAAAATGTTGTTTCCCAAAAATTGTACACACACCACTCAGCTTTATGAGATCGAGGAATATCTTATTTATCAAGAGTTTCACTCCTCCCCCCTCCCCCCCTTCCCCTCTTTCCCAAATGAAACCATTCCCATTATGAACCCTCTTGGTCCCACCTGGGCACCTCATTCCAACAATAACTAAAACAAGACTGATATAATGGTTTGAGAATTTATTATCAAGGAAGAACATTGCTGAAGGCATTATTAACGAATAGTAGAAGGGCAACAATTTGACAGATTTTAACACCTTTTTATACTAATTTAATTGGGTAAAACCAGAATACAGACTCTTGAGAACTAGTTGTTCATTCAACATTCTGCTATGTGTAGCTCAAGGCACAGAAGCTTGAATGTCTTAAGATACCCAATAAATGGAGGTCTTCCGAGCAATGCATAAGGAATATAAGAGGAAAGTATCGAATGCAGTCAAGACATGTGACAGTTATTGACTAAAATATGAGTGACACAACCGATGACAAACAGTTCACAGGAATATCATCCATGTGACCATATCTGCATTCTTGCATTGCTTAACCATTTTCCAACATGCTTAGAAGCCATATTGATTCTCTATGACTCTATGAGTCAAATCTTGAAATGCAAATTATTAGGTTCTTCACAAAGATCTGGCTTGGCAAGTTAGTGGAAGGCAAACAAATGTCACAAATCAGGGTACCAATCAACTTCTCAAGTGGATAAGCATAGTCTCATGGTTCTAGTTTGATTTAATATTGAAATGGATAATTTAAAGATCCATCAAATATTAGAGCTACTACTATTCAGCTATTCTCTTAATGCCTACCTCCATACATAGTACTCCATTGCAGTCAAATGTTCACTATTCTTTGACTTTGGGTAAGGATGGACTAAAATACAATAATTCATTTTATTGTCTCTTTCCTTTTTAATTTTCAAATAGGAGAGAGTTATCCGATCAAAGTCCAATGGGAAATCACCTCTCTATTATCACAGAGGTAGGCTCTGTTGAAGAATTTGTGTTTACAAGGGTCACAAAGAAAAATGTAAGGGAAAAAATCTGAAAATAAACTTCGAGGCGTGAACGGAATCACTTTCCCAAAAGTATGATTCCGACCCTATACTACAACCGGGTATTACGGAAATTTACTCAGGATATACAACG